GGACTACTCGAATACTAGTAGTACTAGTAGTAGTACTAGCAGCACACCATGACTCTTGAAGCACACACATACATTTGTGACTATACGAGTATGAACAGAGTCATTTCAAAGGCCTCGTAGGAGGAGGAGGAGTAGTACTAGTACTACTACTCTTCTGATCTACTAGGACAAGCCAAAGTACTAGTAGTAGTACTACCCTTCTGAACAGAGTCATTTCAAAGGCCTCGTAGGAGGAGTACTAGTACTACTACTACTACTCTTCTGATGTACTAGGACAAACCAAAGTACTAATAGTACTACTACTCTTCTTCTGACGCACTAGTACACGTACTACAGTAGTACCAGTTGCCCAGGACGAGGACAACTACTACTACTAGTAGTACTCCTAGAAGACGTCAATGGGATGATGGAGTAATGTAGTACCTAAGTAAGGCCGGGAGAGGGTAAAGAGCACGCCCACGATGGCGATGGGCACCAGACTCTGGTTGTAGCAGTCGAGGAAGCAAAAGTAGTACGCCACGCGCTCCCCAAAGTACGTCTTGACGTGCGCGCCGAACTGAACGGCGTCCAACCGCCCGCAGCTGCGAATGTACTTGCGCATCAAAGCGGCCGTCTCGGCTTCGTCGTGCACGGGGAACACGCGGCGGATGAGCGGCACGGATTTCTTGGAGATGTTGGCCCTCACACGGATGATGTACTCGATGGCCTGGATGCGGTCGGCGGGGTCGACGTCCGAAGGATCGTTCACGAGGATGTCGTCGAGCTCCCGCGCGTTGCCGCACCGCATCCATACCTGCAGCTTGAGTTCCTTGGCGAAATGCAACACCAGTGCTTCTGGCGCCCGCACGAGCACAATGTAGTACGTGGAATCCGTGCCTTCAATCACATCCACCCAAAGCCCTACCCATATGATAAGGACACGAGAGTGAGAGGGATGCGGGTACCTTGCGCCACCAAAGGGTCGACAATCGTTGACTGCACCGCCGATTTCTCGGAATCCTGCCCTTGCAGTCGCTTCGTCACCACCGCAAAATCGTAGCACGGACGAGGCTTGTCCCCTTCGCCTCGACCTGTCAAGAACCGGTACGTTCCCTTGGTCGCGGGCACTTCGGTCGAGAAGTCCTTCATCCCAGCCGTCGCCAACTTTCCAGTACCTCGACGGCGCAAATGTACGCTTCAACTTCTGTCATGAATGTCCAAACCAAGGCGACTTTTATCCGGAAACATGAAATAGTGTGAATGGTCCACAGGTTTTATACTCAAAATTAGACGTTACTTTAAATAGTGTGCGTCCATCCCTTGCTATCCGGATGATTGTATCCGGATCATCTGCATCCGGATAACACTACCAGTATGTGCCATTCAAGTGTCAACCAACACGAGCATGCTGCATCGAGCGCTGTCTGCCGCGCCGCGCACTCGGCAGCTGCTTCATGCGTCCTTGTCGACCGCTAGTTCCCGTAAGCACACCTTGATCTCCATGCGCTGAACGTGAACTTAGGCTATCCCAGTCTCATCACGGGAGATGCGTACAACAACGTGAGCGAATCGATTGCGTCTAAGGTGGGTTTGAATCTCCATCGGCAGCCCAACCACCCGTTGAACATCATCAAGACCAAGATCGCGTCATACTTTGACGACCTACACGCCAAGGGGTATGTAGTGTCCATGCATGTCGTCGTTCTTGTGGTGACATTCGCATCATGTGCCTGGTAGGAACCACCCCCGGATGCAATTGTTTGACAACCTGTCGCCCGTGGTATCTGTCGAGGACTGCTTTGACCACATGCTCATTCCCAAGGATCACGTGAGTCGCCGACCCACGGACACGTACTACCTGAACCCGTCGACGCTGCTGCGGACACACACGAGCTGCCACGAAGTGCCCCTCATGAAGAAAGGCATCCGGAACTTCCTCGTCGCCGGCGACGTCTACCGCCGCGACGAGATCGATGCGAGCCATTACCCCGTGTTCCATCAAATGGAAGGTCTCCGCTTCTTCCCCGAGGTACGCCGCCATCCATCCATCCATCCATGCTCCTTCGTCACTCACTGGTCCAACATGTAGCTAAGCCAAGCCGTGCCGTACGACGACCGCGTCGCCATCGTACAAGAGCATCTCAAGTCGACGCTGGAAGGGATGGTCGAGTCCATCTTTGGCAAAGTCGAGATGCGCTGGGTCGACGCGTACTTTCCATTCACGCACCCATCGCTCGAGCTCGAGATTTTCTTTGAAGTGCGTGGGTTCGTGCCCTTGTTATATTTCTAATCATCCTGCTGCTGTTATGTAGGGCCAATGGCTGGAAGTGCTCGGGTGTGGCGTCCTGCAGAGGCAAATTGCAGAGCATGGCGGTGTCGTGGACGAAGTAGGGTGGGCGTTCGGGCTCGGGCTGGAACGACTGGCTATGGTGCGTGCGTTGTTGTATAGCAATATTGCTATTTTACCCCAAACTTTGGTTGACTTTTGTGAGGAATCGCCAAATCTATCGATCGATTCGAATTGTACTGAGTTTTCAAGGTCTCCTGAGGTGATTGGTAGCACACTAATTGAAGTCATACTCTAATTTGATGTTCATGAGGGTGCAATCTGATTGGCTAAATCCTTGTGCCGATTCTTGTGTACATTTGGTTGTCTCCTTGTTGCTTAGAATAAACACAACAATATTGCCCTTTTACCCCAAATTTTGGTTAACTTTTGTGTGCTGAGTCTAGCCAACTGTATCCATCGATTCGAATTGTACTGACTGTTGTATGTACAATTGTCCAGCGTCACACTAATTTCAGTCACATACTCATTCGATGTTGAAGAAATGGTCGAATGTGAGTGGATCATTTGATTGGCTACTTGATTCATATTTTGTGGGTTTTGATTGGTCGATATATCGATTGTCTGCCTGTGATTTGATGTCATTCGATTGAGCACCCAAACACTCCAACTTCGACTGGACAAAATCCACAGTAATGTATAACAGTGGAAGGAGTAGACTAAATTTACTGTAGTGCAATGTGACAGCCCTACACATCAAAATGATCCTTAAAGGCAATGTGACAGTCACGTATATTCACGGTGCGGGGGGTATGCGTTTAGGTGCTGTTTGACATCCCCGACATTCGGTTGTTCTGGTCCACGGACGCGCGGTTCTTGTCCCAGTTCAAAGTACGTATATGTTCTTGTATCGAGATATGATGTTGATTGGATGGATTAGGACGGCGTGATCACCCAGTTCAAGCCGTACAGCAAGTACCCCCCTTGTTACAAGGACGTGAGCTTCTGGCTCGCGCCAGACTTTCACGAGAACAACTTGTTTGAAGTCGTGCGCAACGTTGCTGGCGATATGGTCGAGCAGGTTGGTTGGTGGTACCCTTGTTGGAGATTCACTTATTGTGCTTTCGAGTGAAATTTCATTGTGTTGTGGTTTCTCGTTGGAATTGAAATCGATTTGATTGGCTACGTCAGATGAGCTCAAATTTTTTAGCCAATCAAAACCTTCTAAATGAAATTCAACCAATCAGATCGATTGTGGATCGGTTTGGCCTCCCCAAATTTGTATCAAATCGACAATATGCACACTATTTTGCATTTATGCACTATTTTGCATTTATAGATGATATTTTCATTTATATGTTCTAGGTGTCGCTTGTGGACGAGTTTACGCACCCCAAGACCCATCGATCGAGCAAATGCTTTCGCATCACGTACCGTCACTTGGATCGGAACTTGACAAACGAAGAAGTGGACGACATTCAGGTAGACAAATAGATGAATGATGAATAGATGAATGATCCGAAGAGTCTTGGCAGGTCGTGGTGCGCGATGCCTTGGTCAAGGACTTGGGCGTGGAATTGCGATAAACCAAGTAAAGGGTTCCTGGCAAGTTGCCATGTAAACACAACATGGACTAAACGTTCCTGGCAAGTTGCCATGTAAACACAACATGGAGTAAACGTTCCTGGCAAGTTGCCATGTAAACACAACATGGAGTAAACGTTCCTGGCAAGTATGCCATGTAAACACAACATGATGGAATCTATCAGTAACAGCACTGACGTGTATTTTATTAATAATACACTGCGCATCAACAGACATCCACAGGCCAAAAAATTGCATGTCAGTAAACCGAACACACTGACCCGTCTGCCCTACAGTACAGTAAACTCCAACAGCAAAAAGCCATGGAGTACTGTAGATATGTATTGGTCGGGCTTTCATTGGGATGCAACCAAACGTACGTTCGTTTTCATTTCAACGCAGTGTGCTTGTTGGCAAGCATTCTTCCAAAATAGTACACTGGAACACTCCGGACTCCGAAACTAGACGGTAGTCCGAGCATACAAAGTTCCATATAAACACTCATATTGCAGTGTTTTCTGAGAACAACTACGGTGGAACTGTTTTATTGAGGGAATTGTACTACAGTCTGTAGGCCTTGCCATTCGAAGGCCTTGCCTCTTCTAGTAACTTACTCCAGTAATAATCACGACATGACCCAATGAAAGTACTACTGTATGATGTCCAATAAAGTTGAACAAGTCTTTTGAAGTACTAACAGTAGTACAGTAGAAAGAATACTAGTACTACGTACTAGTTCTCAAATCTTTTGAAGTACAGTAAGGTTACTATTAATAAAATAATTAGTAGTCCGAAATATTGTTTCAATCAGGGAATTATCCCCAAGAATCCACACGAATTAGTCGAAAAAAACACTAAATTACATATACTGTACTAGTACCAAGTAGGGTAGGGAATAAATCTATCCAATGCTTGCCAACATGGCGAGAATCAGTCGGACAAAATATACCGGGAAAAACTGACTGTGAACTTCCAGTTTACGAGTCATTTCCAATAGGGAGATTTCGCAAAGTAATTTCCGTAATAATTACCCTCAGTATTTAGTACAATCACGGAAACTCATGAAACTTTATAGCGGAATCCGTGAAAAGAGCAGCTATCACGGAATCGGATAATCATAAGAAAGGGGTTCCATTCGGTGGTTTCGTGTGCCATGAGCAGGTGGACAAGTGAGGATGACCTGGCGCTGTTGGTACGAGCGACCACTCCTCCAACATGTGGTCATGAAGTCTTGGGGGGTGCTCGCGTGCAACTTGCTTAAAGTTCCTGGCTTCTCTTGCCAGGAACTCGTAGTTGACGCCAAGAAAACATTGCACAGGTTCCATCTGATCCTCGGCAACCACGAAAAGTTCCAGAAGGATTCTGTGTATTTGTATGGTGTCGACCGAGTGCAAGCAGAAGTCTGAGATGACGGGCAGGCTTCGCGAAGCGACAACGCTTGACAACCTCTTCCACAGACAGCATTATTGCAAAGTAGTAGCTGATTCCTTATGTTTATTCCGGACGCGGAAATCTATTTATGCAGCGAAATCGTCTAAATTTCATCCGTGTCCGTGGTCGTCGTGTCCGTGTCATTTTTCTCACGGACGCGAACACGGATTGATATGTGAATTGCGAAATCTCCCTATTTAACCTAGTGGTATTTTACATGGGCGCATGGATAGGGGTGGCCGCTGAGATTTATCTTGATATTTGTATATGCCTCTTATCCATATATAGTATCCGGAGGCAGTTGGGACCTTTAACCTCTCACTGCAGTGATAAAACGCATGAATATCGGTATTTAACGTATTTGGTTTTTGGTTTTAACTACATTAATTATACGTTAAATAATAAAACTTCCACTCTTTGATTTGGACAGTTGGAAGTTTTTAGATGATGGGCATCATATTAATATTAATAGTACTGACCTACTATTAATAGTACTACTATAGCACTATTAATAGTATTAAAATACTATTAATCCTATTAATAATAGTAAGTTACGCAGTACTATTAATAGTACTACGTAGTACCATACTTCGTACTTATAGATACTGTATGTATGCACAAGTTAGCTTTGTAACGTTAGGATTATTCTGTCTAAGAAGCGGTTTTGTATTGCAAAAGGCCGCAAAGGAGGTTCCATCCTGTGCTGCTGTTGAAGGATGAGTACATACAGTACATATAGGAAGAGTACAAAGGGTGTCATCCTTCGTACTCTTCCTTCAACATCAGCACAGGATGGAACCCTTGCTCAGTTCCTGAGCGACCTCTTGCAATTCCAGGTTTTTGAGACAGAATATTTCTGGACAATATCCGCGACATGCTTGGCCTGTCCGATAAATTTGTGATTTGCTCGCTGTGATTCGCTACAGTACTATCTTACCACAAAGTGTTAGTTACCCGGCGACGTTATCCCACCTTCAGCAGAGTCACAAAACAATCGCTTCAATTTCAATTTCGTGTCTGCCATGACAAGCCACGAAAAAAATCCAGCGGACTTGGAGGAACGCTTGTCGTACATCCACTCGAAGACGTCCAAAGACGTTGATGGGTACACCGAAGCGAAATCTCCCAGGGACCTTGAAGGGGGGGTGTTGGCCGAAGGGGGAGCACTGGACTTGTTCTCCCGCGAAGCATTTGCCCTGTATATACAGTACGGCGCCGTCGGGGTCATGTACGGCATACTGCCGGCGCTCCGATATCCCATCTTCAACATCTACCTCAACTTGGAGGGGTTCCAAACATCAGCATACAGGGTGTTGATTGTGATCGGGTGGTCATTCAAGGTATTCTATGGCTTGTTGTCGGATTGCGTCCCCATCTGTGGCTACCGTCGCAAGTCGTGGATCTTGATCGGGTGGACCGTCACGATGATCTGTCTGAGTGTGATGACGTTTTCGTCGTTCGGCGAGCCGTTTTGCAACCGCGAAAAGACCAAGTTTTGCGGCACGCCGTTGGAAAAGGTGCCCAAGTCCGAGCTGCAGTACTTTAACTTGGCAGCCCCCGACAACGGCACGCTGTTCATCCTTCTGTCCATGTTTATCGCGTTTGGATACGTCTTGTCTGCGTCTGCGTCGGACGCGATGGTGGTCGAGTACGCCCAGCGAGAACCCGTGGCCATCCGCGGCCGCATCCAGACCGCCATCTACACCGTGCGCGAGCTCAGCGGCATCTTCTCGTACTTGTTGTCTGGGTTAGCACTGAACGGCCCCAACTACGCCGGGTCGTTTTCGTTTGCGTTGTCGCCGAATGCTCCGTATGGCATTGTATTGGTGCCGTGCGTGCTTGTGGTGCTCTCAACGGTATTCCTCCTCGTGGAGAAGAAGACTGAGCCTTCGTGCTTAACCCAATGGTTGAGCACGTTTTGGAAATCTCTCCAGAGTCGCGTGATGTGGCAAATCTGTTTGTTCCGATTCCTGAGCAACGTGTTTCATGGCGTCAGCACCACTGCGACGTTGCCCATCTCGTCGCACTGGGCGAAGGTGGAGCCCCTCAACGATGCGCTCTCGAACATCATTGGCAATGTTCTGTTCGCTGGCATTCTGGTGATTGTGGCCAAGTGGGGGCTTCACTGGAACTGGCGCTGGACCATCGCCGCCGGCACCCTCGGGATGATCGTCATCGACGGCTTTGTCGCGTACATGACCATATGGGACGTCGTGCGCAACCAGTGGTTCTTTACGGGCGTGGCATTGGCCGAAAACGTTCCCCAAGGCCTTCGCTTCATCGTGTCCACGTATGTGGCCGTGGAGATCGCCGACAAGGGCAACGAAGGCGCCACGTACGGCCTCGTGTCCACTGTGAGCAACCTCGCGTCGCCCTTTGCCAGCATCTTTTACAAGTACGTCAACTCGTACTTCAAAGTAAGTCAGAACGACGTCAAGTCCGACACGCTCGAGGTGCGGTGGGACGTCGCGTACGTGCACATGATTATGTACGGGTTCAAAGTGGCGTCATTGTTTTGGCTGTTTTTGCTGCCTCCCCAAAAGGCGGAAATTCAGGCGTTGAAGGCCCAAGGTGGCAAGAGCAAGGTGGCGGGGGTGCTCCTCGTGGTCATTTTTCTCTTCTGCTTGTCGTTCGCCGTGTCCAGTAACATAATGTCCATCTTCCCCTCCACCAAGTGCTTGCGCATCGCAGGGGGCAACGGAGTGTTGGACCCGAAGACGGGCAAGTGCCCCGTCAAGTAGAAAAAAAAAGTTGTTTTGCGTTTTAAAGTGCAGTATAATGAACCTCTCGCGTTATTCTGGTGGTTCCTATATTCATCCAAAACGAGGCGATATCGTCCGAAGGTTTCCATAACGGTACAAGGTAGTGATCACACTGGGCGGGGCCACGGTAGCCTTAAAGCGAAACCTAAAATAGCAATTCTCATAATGCATTGCTAATAAAATACCAGTCAATACTTGTACCTGGCATTAGAGACGTTTTGCAACTTGTCCAGACCGCATCCATTCATCATATTTTTGATACGAATGTCACGGTGGCATTGTGGCGTGGTGGCAGTATAACGTAGCAATCACTTGGCCACGTACAGTACTGGGCGGAGGGCGAACCCCTCAACCACGCGCTGTCTATCATCTTGGGCAACTTGATCTACTCTGGAATTCTGGTCATGGTGGCGTGATGAGAGTTGTAGTGGAACTGGCGGTGGACCATCGCCGCTGGCACCACCGACGTGATCAACTCATCGACATGTGCCTTGTCTCCCGCTTCTTGGCTTTCGGCCACGGGACCTTCGTCAAGGTAGCAAATATAACACTGACATTACCAAGGTTAAACACGCCACGAGGCGCCTACTGACTGCCATTCACTAAAGTACTCAGTACCTCCACTAAGCTAACGGAACTAGGACGAGGAAGTACTCCGGAGTTGGGTAGGTGGTGTCGCGTAGGCCCAAAAAGGGTAAAAGGTCCAGTTTGCACGTAGTTGGTTAGTGTCGCAACAAAAGTAGTGATGCTAGTGCTGACAATCGACAAAGCTGAGGATGGTGGTGTAGATGGAGGAGCCGGAAGGAAGTCGCGTGAAAATGAGTGGTCATGGAGCACGGTACGACGAGGCCACGACAAAAGATGCCACGGCACCAACAACCAGATGCTGGTTGTCTCAGACTGGACGGACCTAATATCCCACTCAAAAAAAAAGAAGTACTAGTATTAATCAAAACATCTAACACACGATTGCGGAAACCTGGAACTGAACCAGCTAGGTGTATTCTTGTCCTAACGTTACTTAAATAAGTAGTCGCGCTCCCAACTCAGCAAAAAGAACTGGTCAATCTGGACAAGAGGCTGCACTAACGTTACAAGAATTATACTATCGACTAATCCACATGTAGAACTACGCACCGTCGTCAATTTCTTGTCAAAAGAACACATGGAAAAGAGGTAGCTCGACAACCTTGATCGAACACATTGACGCCACGATTCCGCAGGAGGCTGCGGGAATTGGTCATTTCGACAGTTTTTTTAGTGAAACTGGTTGATCAGCACACGCCACATACAACTTCAATTGGTGCCATATATTGTTAGATCGCGTAAGCCTTCAGAGGACCAGTTGCGCTTCACAATTGTCGGATCAGCGCGCTACCATTCCGGGAATGGAAGGCCCGCGAGAAATTCGAATCTATCCGGATAATAGTTCCGGAAACGGGTGAGTTGGGTGTCTTCATTCAAATGCACGTATTTTTATTCCTTGACATTCAAATGATAAAAATAAATATACTAGTAGACCTTAGTAACAGTAAGTGCGTTCATGATATATTGCTATGTTATGTTATAATTTATGACTAACAATGTTTGTTAACTTATTGCTAACTTTGGAGAAATCGTCGTAACACCATCTTTAGGCCAGTATAAGTCTATAATGATTGAGCGGATCAATGCGAAACTTTACATACACGGTTGTGACCTTATGTACTTCATGATGACGTGTGATGGTAAACCAAATACTGTTAGATGATTGCGATATTCATGAACAAAGTAAGCTATATTTTTCAAAAATGGAATGTTTGATGCTCCGATTCTTGCCCACTAT